CTTAAATTGTACAGTACATTTTATTAAATCCATACAATAGGTAATCTAACTAAAGTTCTCTAAAATTTACAATTACATCTCTATAATATGGTAGCACTTCTCTAGTTTAATCATTCAGATTAAAATTTAGAATATATATCCTCATCCAAGTCATCAACTTTTTATATAAAAATAAAAAAATTATATCAAAATAAAATATATATTCATTTGGCTACAAGATAACTCCTGTTTTGCCACCAAAAATTAAGATTTAAGAACAGTAAGTTTTTGCTAAAAACGAATTACCGAAACATAGGAACTTATCTTTTAAGATGGAGGAATTTGAAAGAATATGAATGAATCTTTGGTAGGAATTGATTCAAATTATTTGATTTTTTTTTCTAGGGTGGTCAGCGGGTGGTCAACAAGTAGGAATTTTCTTTATTTAAAAAAATAAATAAATAATCAAAGCAAGGAATATGAAAAACTTATATTAAAGGGAGAGCAACATCAAATTAATTTGCTTACAGGTAAAAAAACACTTTTGACTGCATCAAAGATTACCCACTATGTTCCTGATAAGGTTCCAATCATGACTATGCATAGAGGAAGACCACGAGTAAAGAGAGCCGAGATAGCTAACTTGTTAACAGCTAGATAGAATCAGGGTTATTAACATTAAAATCATGAAAAATTAAAGGTGATAACAAAACAAGAAAAAAACTATAAATAATGAACTCACATTAACAATTGTAGCCTCCTTGGCCTTGTTGTGAAAGGAGACCAAGTTGTCTGCTAGTTGCGTAACAACAGTGCATAAGATTCCAGCAACATAATAAATGAAGTAAACGCAGCTTGAAACAACATAAAAAATATAAAAGCTAGAATGGATTTTTTTTTTTATTGCAAGGAATTTGGCGACTCCACAGTGGAACCAATCACTTGTACAACCTATTGTTAAAAAAAAATGGTACAAAATACAACCAAAAAAGAGTAAGTGTTGCAAACACGCGTCATACCCGAGAGCCCCTTCGGATTTGACAATCTTAGGTAACCCATCACTTAACCTTCTTGCAAAGCCTAATTGAGTTTGAATGCGATCCTTAACAGCCTCCATCAGATAAAGAGCAATTTCAGCAATAAATTAAGCATAATCAGATCAAGTCGGAATAGGATTTCTTAAAGAACTCATAAAAATCATACTTAAATGCACCTTGAGCACTATAACCAAGCGGAGTTAGTGTCAACCCTTGAAGAAACCTTTCACACCCTGATCTTTAAGAAGGACACCAAAAACTTATGACTTCATGTGATGCCATCATTTGATTTATCTAAAAAGCCTATATAATATAAAAGATGAATAACAACTTAGTAGACACTAATAGAGCACTTCATTTCAATATAATAAAAGTCAGAATTCTCAATGATCATGAAATCCAAAATTAACTTGAATTCAAATTTTTCATATCAGATTGACGGATCGGGTCAATTTTCTTCCACCTCTAATACAAATATTAATTTAAGACATGAAACATAATGCTACTTGAGTTGTATATGAGAGAAAAAGAAAAACACAACAGCTCAATTATATTACCTAATTAAACTAAAAATAAAATAAGAAAAAAAAATACAACCACATAAATTCGCACTTAAATATTTTGTTGATGCTTTGAATTCAATAGAAAGCATAAAAACACTCAAAAGTTCCAGTTTCAGCTGCTGTCATCATCCAAATTAATTTATATGTATTAACTTATGACATGAGGTGGACAGTAAGTGGAGAAGATTTCCTCAAAGTGTCACATGAACTATAAGCAAGAATTTTAAAAGCTACTCATTAATAGCATTAAAAAAGGATTTTGCAGTAGCTAAAGAATGGAAAAGATTCATTTATAGTCATCTTATCAGGAATAGATGTGGAATAAACATCATATGAAAACGATTTTCAGTAAATAAAATTCTTAATAATTTGTGCAAGAAAAGTCTACGTATGGCATCATACTGGTCCATCATTGTGAAGATAATGGTTAGGAAAACATTTTGGTGAATGGTATTCTCTCTCAGCACCCAAAATAAGTCTCGTTAGATGGATGCCAAATGGCATGTCTATGGTGGTACATGGTATTAAATTAATGATTTTTTGTTGTGCTCTTAGTTAAGCATCATACCAATAAGCTAACTATTAACCGAAAGTAAGTGGCGATAGACAGAAAGTTTGGCATGATAGCTGAAGAAATGACAGAAATTAATAAAGAAGAAGAAAAAAAAAGAAATAAAACAATGGGTCATTTCAAGAAAAAACACTATGCCTGTCTCCATGAGGGCTTCTACCCTACAGTAAAGCCTTTTATTTTTAGTGCTACGGTTTTCATTAAGATCAACCTCCCTCAAGTTGCTAGCACTCCTTGAGCAGAAAGCCCAGTATAAATTCTGAGGTTGCTTCAGCTTGTGCAATTTCCATTCAGAAGGGAAGAATAACCTTGCGAAAGAAACTGCAAATATAGAAAGAAAAAATGACTCACCCAGAAAAATAAAACAAGAAAGGAGGGGAAAATACCCTTGGATATGTTGACAAGCTGAAAAAACATGTTTTTCATGAAGGCATTACAGCTACTAAAAAAATAAAATGGAATTAGGATATTATTTCTTCAAAAAAGGACATTAAAACTGTATTGTTTTTAAAATTATTAAAATATAACGAAAATTTCATTAAAAATAATTAAAAACACAACATGAAACTCTTCATTACAAAAGTTCTTTATATAAGAAGAAGCTCACCTAGATCTTTCATAAACTCACCATAATCATATATTTATTGTAGTTGGTAAGTCAGCTGCCATCAGGTGATATCTAAATAGATAGCATACGTTATCTGGAATGCATTCTGTCTAAGTCATTAGACTAATAATGTTGTCCAAGAGAAATGTCTGTTATTATTCTTGCTATTGTTTTTTAAGGAATCAAAATGACAAAACACTAGTTTTGCAGACCCAAATATTAAAACATGAACAAAATAAGTTAGAAAGTTAATTAAACTATTTTATCATTCGTACATAAGAACATCAGATTCTCCTACTCAAGAAGAAACATAAAGGCTAATGTTATATAAGGAAAACTAATAGAATTAGATGAACCAAAACAGACATCTATTTTCTAGATACAGTAGCTTCATGTGCAGGTCACCAGCCAGCAATGGTGATGCCACCGCCTTATACCAAGCCACGGGATTCCTTCTAATCTCCCTCTCCAAAATGTTAATGCAAAACCTGTCTTTATTTGACTCCTGACCCTGTTCTATTTTTGCATGATAATATTTTGTCTGTATCAATCTTCTACATATACTAACAACACACTGGCCATCTCCAGTTGTTTCAGAAGCAGAGGTGCCCTTGGTTAGAAGGGACACAATGACCGCTGGTTCTCGACGCATAGCAGAAATCTGAAGAGGAGTATAGCCTCTGTCATTCTTTAGATTAATATAGGCCAATCTCATATCCAAATTTTTTGCAATAACTTTGGAATCACAGTATGTTGTTGCATAATGGAGAAGCATCATCTAAGGTTATGCCAAAGAAATATATGTTATTTGAATAGTCAAATAAGTCAGTTGGTTGACAGATACAAAAAAATAACTAATTTTGGATTCATTATAAATATTAATAACAAGTTGAATATATAAAAAAAGTACAGAAAATAACAGAAACTAACAAACCCAAGTAATTCAAAGAAGGAAAGAAAAAAGGAAAGCACTCTGAAGGCTAATGAGAAAGAGGTGAAAAAAAAATAGAAATCTAATCATAAAAATTTATCATTAAAGAAACTTGTTCTAGTTAAGTGATCAGTATTATTGCAATCATTGATATATTGAGGGAGAAGAAATCTACCAGCAGTTGTCTCTAAACAGAGCATATATCATCAGAATATATGAAGTTATTGATATATCATCAGAATATATGAAGTTACTAAAAAGGACAAAGCCAATGAAAAATGTTTCCTTTTAGTAAAAATGGCAATTAGCCGGAAACATCATAAATAATTGTAACTTTCAATGTACATGTATATAAAAATAATTTCAAATGTGATGTTTTTAGTTAGAATGTATATAAAAATCATTAGATTTACTCTCAGAAGATAATAATATAAATTTTGACTAATTAATCATATATTGTATTAATCTTAAAATAAATTTAATGAAGTCTATATATATAAATAGATGTGATGTTAGTTAATGGAGGCATATGCTTCAATTTGCAAGATGTTTTTATCAACTAAAGAAGATATAAGATTGATTAAATTAGAACTCTTAGCTTATATTTAAATATATTTACATAATTTTGTATAAGAAGTTATATGAATTATAGTAATAATGGGTATTCTGTAAGCCTATTGAGAAGCTAAGAGCACAATAGATTCCTGATTTACAACTCAGTGTCTATTCACATCATCACAACATTAAAAGGCTACCAATACCAATTTCAAGATCCTTTTTTATTTTAGTTATTCTATTTAAATGAAGTGAAGGGTTGAGAAGAGCAGAAATTTCTACTTGCTTTAAAACCTTAGCTTTATCTTCATTTTCTCAATTTGTATGTCTTTGAGTAAGG